AAAAGACTTGTAAGATTAGGGAAATGATAGGGATGTCTACTTTGCAAATATTGTTCAGCAAAGTACTGGAAATTCTGGTCAAAGTAATTAGGCAAGAAAAGGAAACAAACAACACTGAAAGTCAAAATAAAAAACTGAAATAATATTCATTTGCTGGGCCTTGTGAATATGATGCCAAAAGCAAGAGCACGAAAAATTATAAACTTGATTTCATCAAAATTAAAGAAAAAACTTTAATCATAAAAGGTACTATAGCACATCTGGTTAAGCTCAAATCCAGATGGGTGACAGTTCATTTCCCAGTGCTCCCCTTTCAATCTAGTTCCCTGCCAGTGACCGGGGAACACAGTAGAGAATGGCTCAAGTCCTTGGGTCCCTGCATCCCAGTGGGATATCCAGAAGAAGCTCCTTACTCTGGCCTGGTTGAGTCCCAGCTCTTGTGCTGGCTATTTGGAGAGTGAACTGGCAGATCCAGCATCTCTCTCTCTCTTTCTCTCTCTCTGTCTCTCTCTCTCACTATGCCTTTCAGATGGTGAAATCTTAAAAGCTAACTAACAAAAAAATCAGTGTAGTTTCACAAAAAGGACACTATCAAGAGTAAATCCTAAAGATGCTACACAACAAACTAATCATAAAAAAAATAAACCCAACATATGATATCAATACCCTAAATTAGTTTCATTTCTATGCATCAGCAATGGACAATCCCAAGGGGAAACTAAGAAAATAATTCAAGTTGCAAGGCATTAATAGGAATAAAACCTAAAACTAACCAAGGACACAAAGATCTGTAAACTAAAACCTACAAAAATTGGCTAAAAGAAAGTACAGGAGAGATAATGACATATCCATAAATGAATGTATAGGTATCTTGGTTCATGGGTTAGAAGACAATATTGGAAAGATAAAAATATTACTCAGAATAATCTTCAGATTCAAAGTATTACCACTCCAGTTCCTAATAGGACTTTGGGGGCAAAAATAAGAAACTATATCCTAAAATTCACATGAAATGTTAACGGATCCTACTGATAAAAAATAATAATAAGGTGGTGGTGGGGATTTCAAAGCTTAAAAAGTTACTAGAAAGCTTTGATAATACAATATAGTACTGGTATAAGGACAGATGTACAACAAATTATGTAGAATAGAATCTAGAAATAATCACTTGCATACGTGATAAACTGATTTTCAACAAGCATTTCAAGACTATTCACTGGGGGAAAAGACAAATAATATTGGGAAAACTGGAAGTCTACATGCAAAAGAACGAAGTTGAAGTCCATTCTTATACCATGTACCAAAAAAGTACCAAAGATCTAATCATAAAAGCTAAAACTACAAAACTCCTGAAAGAAACCATAAGAGAAAAATTTTATCACATTGGATTTAAAAATGATCTTGTGGATATACATGAAAAGAAAGTCAAAAGAAAAGAAATTTGATGCTATCAAATTAAAAAATTCTCTGCATCAAAGGATATTATTAAGAAAGTGAAAAGACAAGCTACACATCATACGAGAAGTCTTCAAAAAGCTTATAGAAAAATAATCAGATTTCAAAATGTTCTGAACCAAAGTAAACTTAACTTTTAAAAAATTACTTCAGAGACAGGCAAATGAAAAATAGAGCTTCTGTTCACTGGGTCACTCCCTAATGGCTGGGCCAAGCCTAGTCAGACATCATTGAATCTGGGTGCCCCAACTGGGTGGCAGGAATGCAACCATTTGACAAATTTTTTCAAGATTTTGAAATTCCTTTATATCTGGGAAAGAGTTAATACTTATATATGTTTTAAAAACTCCTATAAGTGAGCAACAGAAACTAAAGTAACTCAATATGAAAATGGACAAAAGATTCGAGTAGACATTTTTTCCAAAGAAAATGTGGCCAATAAGGACACAAAAAGAAGACAGATGTCAATAGTCATTAGGGAAACGCAAATGAAAGCCAAAATGAGGCACGGCTTCACATAGTGTCATGGTCATTAATGAAAAACAAAGGCACGAATAGCAAGTGCTAGTGAGGGTATGGAGAAATGAGAACCCTGTGCACTGTTGACAAGAAAGAATGTAAAATGGTGTAGCGATACCACAAGGTTGGTAATTCCTTTACAAATTAAACAAAATAGCCATATAATTCACCAATTCCACTTCTAGGAATATACCCAAAAGAACTGAAAGCAGGAACTCAGACATACACTTGTGCACTAATGTTCACAGCAGTGCCATCTGATGGGTGGAACAAAATGCGGTAAATCTGTGCAATTAAATATTGGCCTTAAAAGCACTGCAATTCTGATATGTGCTCCAACATAGAGGAATCTTGAAAACATGATGTTAAATGAAAGAAGGCAGGCACAAAAGAACAAACATTGCCTGATTGGACTTTTCTGAGTACCTAGAAAGTGGAACGGAGGCCTGTTGCTTGGGGATTTAATGAATAGTTTCTGTTTTAAATGATGAAATGGTTCTGCAAATGAATGTTGCTGGTTATACTAGATTGTAGACACATTTAATGGCACTGAACTATACACTTAAATTGTTAAAGTTATAAATTTCATGTTATGTATATTTTGCTGCAGGGAAAAATGTTTTTTGAAAGCTATACAAGAATATTTACAATCATTCTAACTGCCTGAAAACGTGAAACAGTCCAAATGGGTGAATGAACAAACATGTACACTTGAATACTACTCAGGAATAAAACACAAAGAACTACTGCGACATGTAACAATTTGGATGAATCTTAGAGAAGATCCTTTGAGTGGAATTAGAGGTTTCAAAGAGCACTGTGTGATTATATTAACATGGCATTCTTACAGACAAAGCCATAGTAATGAACAACACATCACTGGTTGCAGAAAGGGTGTGGCCATAATGACATAGATAACATGAGGGAGTGTTTTAGGATGATCTAGATCGGTGTTCAAACTTCAGAATTGGAAACAGAGAGCAAGTTGGTTTCACTGAATGATTTTAAAGCTTAAAAGTATAAATGGGCACTAAAAATTGTGGAGAATCTCTATTATGAAAAAACTATGCATGGGTTTAAAAATTTTTTTGCAACAATATAAACACATTTTAACTCAGCTTCCTACAAACTTCTTATAATGCCCTAACTTAAAGTTCTACTAAAAAAGCCCTAGGAAATTGTTGAAATTAAAGAGTTAAAAAAAGATAGGAAAGAAATTACATAAATTATAGTTATATATTTTCTATAATTTAACAAGTGTTTAAAGAACGCAATATAACAAAACTTATATTTCATCCCCTGGCCACAATTTTTATATCCAGATTATAACTTGTACTCAATAAGAAATTATCACATATGGTTGCAAAATGAAAACCAAATCCCATTAATTCTTGCTGTAACATAGGGCTATTGTGTGGCGAAAGTGAAGGTAAACCCACACAGTTGCTTGAGATAGAATAGCCTTGAGACATTTTTATAGAGTAGTGCTCTCATAGCTACCTTCAGCTAGTGCTCAGGGCTCTGCACAGGCTGTGTTGTATTGCAAAGAAATGCACACTGACCACGAAGTTAGACAATCAGTGAATCCTCAGCTGCACTGCTCATGAAATGCTATTTTTTCTTACAATCCCAAAGATCAGAAATAAACTACCAGTGTCTGGAATGACTCCGCACTTGCTTCCTTTAGGTCTTAGATTCACTTCCCTTTTCTGCTCTCTGGAGACAGAGCACAGCTGTTCAACATCCTTTATAAAACTGTTTTGTTCTAGAAGCTTCCCAAGGGCCATTACTAAATGTGAGAAATATTGGGAAGACCATAGCAGATTGGTATATGAGTCATTTTCCATCTGCATATGGTTAGATGCATTTATAACACGTTTTTAATCAAATAAAAAGGCAAAATAAAGCATTTAATTATTTTTTTACTTTACTCTTTTTAATTTGTTTTTACTTTTTTACTTTTTAGTTTATCTTTTATCCTGATATTTAAGAGAGTAGGATTGACTTCTCAAGATGATGCTGTTACGGTGCCTTGGCTATTGTCCTTCTAAGTTCTTGTTTCAAAATGTCATGGTTCAAACAAAAGCTTTCTCTAGAGCTCCCTGTATTTCTAAATTACAGAATGGGCATAGTTCTGGCTAATATGCCCAGTAGTTTCCAAGTGTTAAAAATCCCTTTTCATCTTCAAAATCCCAAACTCTCACTGGTATTCATGATAAAGAAAACAGAAGGAACGAAAATAGGAGGGAGATCTCAGGATTCAGCCAGTAGTTAATCATAGGATAGACATATCCAGGCGCACATGGAGGATGTGGCAGGTACACTGGAGTCCACAGAGGACATCTGGTACCACAACAGAAGATGGAGGACAGAACAAATCAATCAAATACCCCAGGCAAGTGTCGGCAGTGAACATCTGGGCAAACGGAGACACTAAGGCAGACTATATCAGCCAGTGGAGTCTGGAAAGATTTCATCGTGACTGGAATGGAAAGATTGGCAACAATACAGTATTGTTGAACTTTCAAAACCACTTGAGCAGGACCCTCAGAGCATGCCCCAATTGGGGACTTTGGGATGGTTAGGAGTTTGGGTGTGGCTTCTCACCTTATCTCTCCCCTTCCCCCAGATATAGGAAGGAAAGAAGAGAATGTGAAAACAATGGTCTCACCCACTTTCCTTTAGTCCTTGACACTTTGCACCCTAACCAAATATGTAAAAATTATCAAAAAATAAATTTTATGCAAGAAAAAAGTGAACAAAAAGTAAAAATAAAAATAGCTTAGATCAACAACAACAACAAAAGAAATGCTATGGTTTGCAAGTGGTGTAACGAGCTGTGGGAAGGAAAAGCCTCTTCAAATGGATTTGCTCTCAGCCTAGAAAGGCTTGTAGTCTGGTTTATAATCAAGTGCTGTTTTAAACAGTTCATGGGGCTTCCCAAAGGATCTATTTTCCTTGTAATGAATACACATGAATATAGATGGGCATGAAGAATAAGAACAGTATGAAAAATATAGAATTACCATTTGGATGTAGCTTTCTTCATCTTCTCTGGAAACAGGATTGGCAAAAAATCTCACAGAATTAATACCATTTCTTTCTGGAGACAGAAAGCTGGTTCGATTGCTAAAAACAAAGACACAGACGAGGTCAATGCAATGTCTTACAGCTGCTCTGAGAACCAGCCAGGAACTGACATGGTCCTCATGGGGTTTCAGCCCTCCCCTTCCAGGCACAATTTTCTTCTGGCCAAAGCAGCTCCTGAAGAATTAGAGCCTACCCAGCAGCTCTGTCCCACTCCGGAGCGAATGCTTTCCCATTCACAAGGGCTGCTTTCCCAGACCCTGTGTGTGACAGGGTTCATGAGCTATGTAGAAGCAGACTAAGACACTATATAACTTAGCCAAAAAAAAGTGGTTATTCTTCTGAGAGAACAAAAGAAATACAAGCCCAGGACTCTGAAAAAGATGAGCTGAGACGGTGCAGATAAATTTTGTTCACTAAGTTGGCTTCTGGAAATTACGTTGGTACCAGTAGCTCTGTTTGTTGGGACAACAGTTCTCTTCACCCAAAGAAACCTGTTGATACTATAGTTGCAGCATATAAATAGATTCAGAAGCTGTGGCACAGCTTTAATGGACTGAGGATTTTATAACAAAGAGCCCTGCAAAGACAGAGGAATTGGCAGATGTGAAGATAGAAGTAGATGTGAGAGGTAGAGAGAGTACATCCTGGATTCCCAACAGCACTTGAGTTCATGCACCAAATAGAGTGGGGACTTCAGTCATATTCCTCCCTTACTTTGGCTTATGATAGGTCAAGGGGGCTTTAACTGCAATTAATCTCTTAAAGAGCTCTACCTATCAGCTAAGGTGTCTGAGCTGGATGAGGTCATTTTCAAGCAGAGACTTACCAAGGCACGGTGTGGGTCCTGCTTAGAGATGCATGCTCTCGGATGGTTGTGAGGTTTCGCAGATCCAAGGGAGGTGGCCGTGCTACAATACAGTGCACAATAGCCAGTATGATTAACTTTCAGTACAAGGGCAGAATCTAAAGACTTACACAAACCTATGACATTCTACTTTCCTGACACATCAAATCTCAAACTTATCAGGAGACATCGATGATGAGTGAATTTTACTGTCTAATCTGCCCTGTCTGATCGGCTGCTCATTTGCCAACTTAACTCTATTTCCCTTGCTAACTGAGGCCTTCTTGGATCTCCACACAAAATCAGGTCCCACATCATGGGCTCCTGTATGGATCTCTCACAGAACTTCTACCAACCTGTGAATATTTGACTATGGTTATTTGGATCCACAGTATGCTCTGAGAGGACAGACATTTTTCTGGCATATTCATTGCAGTAGCCTTATTATCTACAGAAGCACTTGCTCCTCAGTGACCCATCTGGATGCTTTAGTATCTCCTTCTTTTGTGGAACTACATAGGTAGAGACTAATTCTCCTCCATGTCACCAGAGTCTAGGCAACCTTCTTGCTGCTCATTTGATTTTCCAGGAGTCTTGGACCTAGGTTCAGCTGCCTGGATAGGGTGTGTGAGTCATGCGGACTCTGGGGAAGAGTTCTGTGATGGCAACAGAACATTCTGATGTCAGTTCAACGTACAAACTGCCTTCTGATCTCACCGTCTGCCCACTTTGGCCTGGGCTCCAGGTTTCATCCCAGAGCTCATCTTACTTGACCTAAGTGTCCACCTTTGTATCAACCATGGAATCTTCAACATTGAGTCCATCAAATGTCTCTCTACCAAAGCGGTTCTTATAAAACCCACTGTTCAACAAAGATTGATCACTAGTCACATGTAGCTAATTATGTAAATTTATTCAAGTTAAGTGAAACTTAAAATTCAATTCTTCAATTACACTAGCCACATTTCAAGTATTCAACAGCCATATCTCCATCATCCAAGGAAGTTTTGTTGGGCAGCATTGCAATAGAAAATGAACTGAGCAAAACAGTAATACCCACTTTAAAATTTACAGGCTCTGGCGAAATAATTGCTAACCAGAATGAGCAGTAATTTCTTCTGTACCTCATAAGACATGGTCTGCTCTTCTATTTAATACTGACTTCATAATTCTTTTTCTTCACATTATTCTTTTTTACACATGTATCTTCCTCCCTCACTGGCTGAAGGAGTATCCTTGTTCCCATACCTTTACATCTCACCTAGTACCTGGCTCAATACCACACACACACACACACACACACACACACACACACACACACAGAGTAAATGTGCAAGTGGAGTTCGACTCCAATGCAAGGAAGCATGAGCAGGGGATTCAGAGCCACGGCTATTTGAATTGTTAGCTTTTCCAACAAACAAAAAGAGGTAAGAATGGATCAGATTGTTATGTTGTGGATTTTCATTGGAGGGGATGATATTCTGCCAGCTCTATTTTCAGACCAGGGATGGTCTCCCAAGGAAACTGTTGAAACTATCTGGACAATAAGAGGCTGGACCCTATGCATGGTACATGCCCGCAATGAAGGAATCAGGACTGGATATGAACTGTACTACTCCAACAATATGGAGGAATCCAACATGGGGTGAGGGCACGGGGAGGGGTTGGAGAAATCACAGAGCCTATGAAACTGTGTCATAAAATGGAATAATAAAAAAAAAGAGTGGATCATATGGAATGTCAGAAATGACAGTTATTGTAACAAATGCCTTCTGTTAATCACACAGTCTGTTTAGTAGATCACAGAAGCTGCTTGTAGTTAATGCAGACTGTTCATTATTGACGTCCTAGGCCATCCTCAAACTCCTCTGATAATGGCACATACAGAGCAGTGAGTGTAATCACATCTGAAACTAAACAATTGATGTCCAAGCCCATTCACGGCTGCCTTACAGAAGGCTGGCATTATGATTTCATTCAAATGTTGTGTAAATGAACAGATGTCAGGTGGCTTCCATTCGGATCCATTATTATTTATTCCTGAGCCTTTGTATTTGGAGGGCCACACTGCCTATAAGTCTCCTGACTCCTTTTATTATGAGAATCTGGGGTAGCAATGTTCCCTAGCCCTTCCCATTCCAACCCAATCCCTTCTTTCTTGCCATTACACTTTTCAGCTGCCATAGTCAATGCCTTACATTTCCTCTGAGGCTTGAGATCTCTATTCACTGGGGGAGGCTCCAAGTTTGCAGGTAGCTCTGGTAGTGGAGTTGAGATGCTTCCTGAGCTCATTGGGATATAGTCATCCTGGTTGCAGTGGGTTCCAAGACTGCTGACAATGGCTTGAGGGCTCATGGGGACATAGCTGTCTTCAGCATGGGCTGAAGATGTGGGGTACATCAGGGAGAACCTGCATGGCTACAAGAGAGTAAGCACAGATTTGAAACCATTTGTCAGTGAGGAAAATTGCTGGAGGACACAGGGTTATGAATATGTACAAATTCTTTAAATCTGTTGAGGTGTCTTAAGCACTTCCAATTAACAGAAGTGTCTAGAGCTGGCAAGGTTCTTATACAACACCAAGTTCAGGAATCCCCAAACAAGTTCAAATAGTCAGGGATTGAAAAAGGAAGAGTTCTCATAGATTCAGACTCCAAGGTAATATAGAGGTCAGGCTTGTTTTGGTAAAACTGAAGCTTAGATGAATCCAGGTACCAAACTTACCAAGTTTAAACTAAGCCGTTTTTCTCGGTGTCTTAAGGATTGGCCTTCTGCATCAACTGCAACAAACAAGCCAGACTGGTGAGAAATGCAATGCATCATCAACAACATCTACACCTTAGTCCCCATGATGCCAGGGCCCCGTGCTCAGCTCCAGAGAGTCAGGGGAGCATAACACATAGTTTCTGAATGCAAAGTGTTCTTTTGAGTCTAGCTGGGAAGTCAAGACACATTACCAAACAGCTTTGGCTCTCTCTGTGAATTCGGGAGAGATACAACAAGGTTTTTTTTTTTTTTGTAAGAATTCATTTATTGTATTTGAAAGGCAGGAAGAGAAGAGAAGAGAGAGAGAGAGATCGATCCTCCATCTGCTGGCTCACTCCTTAAATGGCCACACAGCTGAAGCTAGATCAAACTGAAATGAGGGGCCAGAAACTCCATTCAGGTCACCCACATGGTGGCAGGGACCCCAAGTACCTGGGTCATCATATGTTGCCTCTCAGATGAATTAGCAAGAAGCTAGATCAGAAGTGGAGCAGATGAAATTCAAATTGGTGTCCATACAGAATACCACTAGTAGCTTAACCCATTGCACCACAATGCCAATAAATTATTGTGTCATATTTTGCATGCTTCCTCTGAGCTTAGACATAGTGGAGTCTTTGAGGTGTGCAGGAGGATAGGCTGAAGAGACAATCACATTGTGGGGCACCACTGAGAGCTGTGACCAAGAATTGATGACTCATTTCAGAGTTTAAAATTGTCAGGTGAAAGTGACAAAATTTTAATGTAAAAATTTATCGGTCCAGTGCAGTAGCCTAGCGGCCAAAGCCCTCACCTTGCACACACTGGGATCCCATATATGGGCACCAGCTCTAATCCCAGCGGCCCCACTTCCTATCCAGCTCCCTGCCTGTGGCCTGGGAAAGCAGTGGAGGACGGCCCAAAGCCTTGGGATCCTGCACCCACGTGGGAGACCTGGAAGAGGCTCTGGGCTCTTGGCTTGGGATCGGTGCAGCTCTGGCCATTGCGGCCACTTGGGGAGTGAATCAACAGACAGAAGATTTTCCTCTCTGTCTGTCCTCCTCTTTGTATATCCAACTTTGCAATTAAAAATAATAAAAAAAATCTTTAAAAAATTTACAACAAGTTTTAAGTTGGAAGATGTTGAGAAGGCAAAGAAATATTTCTACTTATTCTGTGAGGCCACCTTCACACTAACATCCAAATTATATGAAGATAATTTAATTAAACCACAAACCAAAATCACAAGTCCCCCAACAATGTGTTAGCAATTTATAGTAACAACTTATTAAAACAATGTACCATGATCAAGTGAATTTTGTTTACTTCTTTATTTCTCTTACTTTATACATACTTTTAAAAATTCTTAAATTTTCATTTGAAATGCAGATTAGATTTACGGAGAGAATGGGAACCTTCTTCCATATGTTGGCTCACTGCCCAAGTGGCCACAATGACCAGAGCTGAGCTGATCCGAATCCAGGAGCCAGGAGTTTCTTTCAGGTCCCCCACATGGGTGCTGGGTCCCAAGTACCTGGGTCATCCTCCACTGCTTTCCTAGGCATGTTAGCAGGGAGCTGGCGGTTAGGCACTTAGGTGATTTCTGCCTGCTGGCTGTTGTGAACAGTGCTGCAATTAACATGGGAATGAAGGGATTTCTTCAACAGAGTGATTTACTTTCCCTTGGCCACACACCCAGAAGTCAGATTGCCGGATCATATGGTAGCTCTACTTTTAGCTTTCGCGGAGCCTCCACACCGGCTTCCACAACAGTTCACAGGGTTTCATGCCTTTTTCTCCATACCCTCAGCAACATTTGCTGCTTTTTGTTATTTCGATAATAGCAATTTTAACTGATACATAATTGTTTGCTTGATTTATTATTCCCTGATAATTAGTGATACTGCAGTTTTTTACACTTGATCTTAGCCAAAAGGCCGAGAAGCAATGCTGCAGTTTTTTAAAAAGATGTATGTGTGTATTTATTTATTTAAAAGGCAGAGTTACAGAGAGACAAGGGAAGATAGAGAGACAGAAGGATCTTACATCCATTGGTTCCCTCCATAACTGGTTTCAATGGTTAGGGCTGGATCACCAGGCCAGAGCCAGGAGCCAGGAGCTTCTTTCAGGTCTCCTATGAGGATAGCAGTGATCCAACCACTTGGCCATCCTCTGCCGCTTTCCCATGTGAATTAGCAGGGTGCTGGATTGGAAGTGAAGGATTCAGAACATGAACTGGTGCCCATACAGCATGCTGGTGTTGCAGGTGGCAGGGTAACCCGTTATACTGCATCACTGACCCCAGTGTTGAGCATTTTTTAATGTGCCTGTCAGCCATTTGTGAGTTCCTTTAAGAAGTGTGTGTTTAATTCTACTGCTAATTTTTGTATTGGATTTTGTGGTTGGTTTGAGTTCCTTATACATTCTGGATATTAATCCCTTGTATAGTATATAGCTCTCCCATTCTGCAGGTTTTTCTTCATTCTGTTGTTTTCTTTGCTGTGCAGAGTTTTTTTCGGTTTGATGAGATCATTTGTCTGGCTTTGCTCTTGTTTCCTATGCTTGTGGGGTCTGATCTAAAAATCCTGATCCAATGTCCATGAGTCTTTCTACTATATTTTCCTCCAGTAGTTTTAAAGCTCTGGGTTTTGCATTTAGGTCTTTAGCCATTTGGAGTTGATTTTTTTTCTATATGGTGACAGATAAGTGTATAATTTCATTCTTCTGTGATATGGATATCCAATTTTTCAAACATCATTATTTAAAAGACTGTCCTTTCTTTCAATGCATCTTCTTGGCATGTTTGCCAAAGATTAGTTCGCTATACATGTTGGCTTGCTTGTACAGTCTTTACTCTGATCCATTGGTCTACTAAATTTGTTTCTATGCCAATATCATGTTTCAATTATGGCTTTCCAATATATATATATATTTTTAAAGATTTATTTATTTATTGGAAAGTCAGATATACAGAGAGGAGGAGAGACAGAGAGGAAGATCTTCCGTCCGATGATTCACTCCCCAAGTGAGCACAATGGCCAATGCTATGCAGATCTGAAGCCATGAGCCAGGAACTTTCTTCCGTGTCTCCCACACGAGTGCAGGGTCCCAAGGCGTTGGGCCGTCCTCCACTGCTTTCCCAGGCCACAAGCAGGGAGCTGGATGGGAAGTGGAGCTGCCGGGATTAGAACCGGCGCCCATATGGGGTCCTGACATGTTCAAGACGAGGAGTTTAGCCGCAGGGCCATGCCGCTGGGCCCTCCAATATATTTTAAATTCAGATAGTGTAATACTTTCTGCTTTGTTCTTCTTGTTTAAGCTTTCTTTGACTATCTGGAGTCTTGTGATTCCACACAAATTTTGATAGTGACTTTTCTGGTTCTATGAAAAATATCATGGAAATTTTTATAGGAATTGAATCTGTAAATCACTTTTTAGTGATATTTATTCTTCTAATCCATGTTCACAGGATATCTTTCCATTTTGTTGTGTTTTCTTACATTTATTTCATCTATGTTTTATAGTTTCCATTGTACAGATCCTTTGTCTCTTTGACTGAACTTATTCCCAGGTATCCTTTTCTCTTATTTATTTGAAAGGCAGATTTACAGAGGAGAGATAGAGGCAGGAACAAAGAAAGATCCTCTATCTTCTGGTTTACTCCCCAGATGGCTGCAATAGCCAAAGCTGGGCCTGTCAGAAGTCAGGAGCCTCTTCTGGGTCTCCCACATGGGTGCAGGGGCCCAAGCACTTGGGTCATCTTCTGCTGTTTTCCCAGGCACATTAGCAGTGAGCTGGATCAGAAGTGGAGCAGCTGGGATTTGAACCTCTATATACATGGGATGCTAGTGTTATGGGTGGAAGTCTTATCTACTATGCCATAACACCAACTATCTATTGGAAATGAGACTGCTCACCGGCATGGTAGCATACTGGCTAAATCCTAGTCTTGCACACCCGGGATCCCATATTGGTGCCTGTTTGTGTCCCAGCTGCTCCACTTCCCCTCCAGCTCCTAGCCACTTGGGGCATACACCAGTGGAAAAAAGATCTCTCTATATATCTGCCTTTCCAATTAAAAACAAAATAGCAACAACAACAAAACAATGAGACTGCTTTCTTAATTTTTTGGATGATTCAGTACTTATTTTTATTTTTTATTATTAATCCACTATTTTTTTGGGATGATTCACTATTGGTGTGTTAACAATGCAGCTGATTATTTTGCATTGACTTTGGATCCCACAACTTTGTCAATGTGTTAGTTCTAATAGCTTTTTGGCACAATCTTTAAGGTCTTCTATCTAAAAGTTTATGTTATCTGCAATTGCTGAAATTTTGGACTCCTCATTTCTATTTGGGATGTCCTTTCTTTCTTTCAAGCAATTTCTCTCTAGTACTTCCAGTACTATAGTAAGTGGTGAAAGTGAGCATATTTGCCTTGTTCCTGATCTCAGAAAGTCTTCAGCTTTCCCCCCATTGTGTTAGCTGGCAGATCCTCATACATGTATGGCTTTTATTGTGTTGAGGCACATTCCTTCTGCACCTAAATTTTGCAGAGTTCTTATAAGGAAGGGATGTTGAATTTCACCAAATACCTTTTCTGCATTTGTTTTCTGTTCTGTTGATGTGGTGTTTTATGTTTATTGATATTTTAGTGTCAAACCACTCTTGTATCCCTAGGATGAATTCTACTTTAAAACAAAGATGTAATGTGTGTGTGCGTGTTTGGAGTGGAAAGTTACAGAGGGAGGAAGAGAGTGACTAAGGTCTTCCATCTACTGGCTCACACCCCAAATGACTACAACGGGCAAGCCTTTGCCAGGTTGAAGTTACAAGGCAAAAATTACATTTTGGTCTCTTATAAGGGTGGTAGAAGCCAAATACTTGGGCCATATTCCACATGGCATGGAGCAGGGGTAACATAACTGGCACTTACACACTTACATACTTTGATATGGGATGTCAGCATTGCATGTGACAGCTGAATCTGCTGTGCCATGACAGCCCATTTGGTATGTTGGTTTTGTTGAGA